CAAAGAGGGGTAAATTTTAATTTTGATAAACACTGATTTATCATTCTTTTTACGGACAGTGCTAATTTATCGCAGCAATATTTTACCATTTTCAATGTACAGCTCTTACACCTATTTCATCAGAATTATCCCTAAGTATTTCATATTTTTGATGCCATGGAGATTTTTTAAAATTTCAATGTCAGATTGTTTGTTGCTAGTGTGTGGAAATATAATTGAGTTCTGTATATTGATCTTGTAGCCTACATACTTGCTAAACTCACTTTTTAGTTCCAGTAGCTTTTTGGAGATTCTGTAGGATTTTCTACATAGACAATCATGTTGTCTGTATATAAAGATAGTTTTACTTCTTACTTTCCAATCTTGGTTGCCTTTTCTTTCTTTTTTTGCTTTATTGCACTAGTTATTTGGCTGTTTGAAGTCCTGCAGTTCACCAAAATATTCTGAGTCTTTTTTCTCCATGTGTTTCATTTTACGTAGTTTCTATAACTATGTCTTCGAGTTCACTAATCTTCTCTTCGGCCATATCTAATCTGCCATTATTTCCATCTACTGTATTTTATGTCTCAGGCATTGTAGAAGTTTTATCTGGATCTTAAAATTTAAAAAATTTTAATTGCAATTACAAGTGTCACTTTTCTGTTTCTTTGTTGTTTGATGTCTCTACGTAGTCAGTCTTTCTTCTGACAACACATGAAATACATTTATAATTGTTTTAATGCTATAGTCCACTAATTCTACTATCAGTGTCCTTTCTGGGTCAGTGTCAAAAGATTGATTGTCCCTTCATTGTGGGTGGTATTTTCCTACTTCTTTGCATGCCTGTCAATTATTGATGGGATGCCGAACATGGGGAATTTTACCTTGTTGGGCTCTGCATATTTTTGTCTTTCCATAAATAATCTTGAGTTTTGTTCTGGGAATTGATTAAGTGACTTGGAAACCATTACAGTCTTTTGTCAGGTGGGACCAGAGCTGTGTTCGTTTTTCCCCTGTACTTAGTCAAAACCCGTCTTAGTGCTCTAACAGATGCCTCTTGAACTGAGACTCCATTCTGGCTATCAGGTTCTCAGGAACAGGCTCTACCTCCCAGCCTGTGTGAGCTCTGAGCACTATTCCCTCTTATTCTCTGGGGCAGGGCTTTCCCCAGCCTCAGGTAATTTCTAGTTGATTAATACTCAACTCAATAGTGGAGGGAGACCCTCTGCACATCTCCAGGGCTCGCTCTCTGCAGCTCTCTTCCCTGCAAACTTTGGCCCTTTGACCTCCTCCAGACTCCCAGCTATGTCTGCCTCATTCAGGGAGACTGCCAGGCTCTGCCTGAATTCCCCAACCCCTGAGCCATGGCTGGGAACTTTCTCCAGGCAGTAAGTCGAGTCAGTCATGGGACTCACCTCGTGTTTCTCTGGTACTTCGTCTTAGCTGAAGCAGAAGTTCCTGTCAGCTGTGTTGGGGTCAGAATTGGTCAGGAAGTGTCAGGGTGGCTCTGGGCTGGATCTGGGAGGCTTTTTCTGCCTTACACCAGGTGGCACACCTGACCCCAGGGAAGGACTGATCCTACTGTGGGTGCCAACCGGGGCAGTGGCCAGGAGGAGGAGCTAACCAGTGTGCCCCACGGGCAGACAGCTGCGGTACCCCTTAGTCCACAAATGACTCCTCATTGAGCTTCCCATGCCTCCACCTTCCCCAGCCATCCCAGCTGTGGTCTCTGACAGCTCTGCCCTCTTCTCCCGCTATTGACCTCACCTGGCCAGGGCTGGAAGGGCATTAGCACCTGCAGCTTCCCACCTGGCAATTAACTAGTACCTACAACAACTGTAACATCTTCCATTTTGTGAGCAGTTGTCATTTTCCAGGCTCTGGGCTACTTACTAAGTATCTGAGGCTGGGGGAAGTAAAGTGACACCCCAAGATCCCATAGCTGGAAGGGGCAGAATCAGGATTCAGCCCTTACCTCCGGAGACCTGGTGTCTGGCCTGCCAGAAATGAGCCCTGGGAACTTTCTTACCTTCTGGGTCTCATCCTCCATTCTGGTCCCACTGGGCCCCTGTCTCTAGTCCTGACCTGTGTCTGCCTCTGGGCCTGACGCTCTATCCAGAATCCGCCTCGTTGCGGGAGGTGGCGTGCGGGTGGGACGTGCACAGGCTGTGTCATCAGACAGACCCAAGTTCAAATCCTATTTTCTAACTGTGTGACCTTGAGGGAGTCACTCCTGCTGACCCACAAGAACGACTTCTCCAAAATGAGATAACGGTGTTACTTCACAGGACTGATGTGAAGATTACAGGAGATAAGATCGAGAAAGTGCGTACTTCCCATGGGTGTTCACTACATGGTGGCAAGACCACCGCTTTCCACTCTGGCACAGAAGGAGCTTGGAAGTCATCTGTCCACACTAAAAACAAGTAAGAAAGCTGAAGAAACTGAAACATCAACCACTCTCCTCAGATCTGTCAGAGAAGTGAGGTCACGGGGCAAACCAGCGAACCAAAACTTGGAGAGACAGACGGGTGAATACAGAGGATAACGACGTGCCAGAGCAGAACCCCGTGAGCAGAAACCTCCGCAGGAACTAGTTCTGGGTAGGAAAACCTAAACTGTAATTGCAGAATTGCTGGAGGCTCCATGTGGAGAAAGATACCTCAGTGTTCCCACTGCGCTTTGGCCCTTTATAGATGAGGATGCTGAGCTCAGGGAAATATTTGCCCAAACTCACCATCCACATCAGAAGCATAGGCATAATTTGCACCCAGGAGCCTCTGATCCCAGAGCTCCACACTCCCACATGGCCCCTGTTTAAACCTCCATCAGAGTAATCCTGGGGCCAAGCCCCATTCCTGGCCTGTTCTAGGCTCCTTCCTCTTTCCACAACCCCCTAGAGTCCTGCCCTCCCCTCTTCCTGGCCTGTTCTAGGCTCCTTCCTCTTTCCACAACCCCTTAGAGGCCTGCCCTCCCCTCTTCCTGGCCTGGTTTGCCCTCTGATCTCAGTCCTACGCATCCTGCCCCACCTTGAGTTCCCTGGAAGGAACACCCAGCCCTGACTGAGGCCACAGTTCAGCTGGCAGGCAGAAGTCCAGCACTGTTCGTGAACTTTTCCCCATGACTTCCCTCTTCACCATTCTAGACCGAGCACGCTGAGCAAGGAGAGGGAGTGAGCCTCCTCCTCTCCCTGGGCTTCAGTTTCTCCATCTGTAAGGCAGAGAGAATGCCCCTGCCCTGGGTGCCTTCCAGGGCTGACAGGAGGCTCTGATGATCACAGGCAAAAAGGCTGGTGGTCCAGCCCTGAGCACCTCATTCCTGAGCTCTCGGTTAGGAGGATGGGATCCCAAGTTAGCCTGGAACCCAGCTCTGCCGCCCTGGCAGGTCTCCTAACCTCCCTGTGCCCTGGCACCCCATCCAAAGAAGGGCATCCCAGTAGTACCTTCCATGTAGAATCATTGTGAGACTTGACATGACAAGGCACTGGATGCAGACGAAGTCTCCCTAGCACCCTTCACCTCCCTCAGTAAATGGTGGCAATTATTAAGTGAAGGGCCCTGCCTCCCCCTGTGGAGAGAGCAGGCTGCAGTAGAATCGTAGGTGTGAGATCAGGCTCCTTCTTGAAGAATTCCAGGGCAAACTTGGCCCTCCAGCGTGTGTCCCCAGCCCAGCCATCCCATCCATGAGAATAACCCTAATTAACCCTCCAGCCAGATGATAGCAGGTTTTAAAAACTGCTGTCCTTGCAGATATTCTTTAAGTCACAGAAGTAGCAGAGCTCTCTAACGTGTCCTTTCTCATCCAAATCTTTACAAAGTCTGTACAAGGAGTTAGCATGGGCTTTGGTTCCAGGCCAGCCTGAGCTCCTTTCCAGCTCTGCCACTTACTTGCTGTGTGACCTTGGGTAAGTTATTTCCCTTCTCTGGGCCTCCCTTTGCTTCATCTGTAAAGTAGGGGGGATACTCCCAACTTTGAGGGGTCCTGCGAGGATTACAAGTATCAGGCAGAGAGGAAGTACATCATAATCCCTAAAGCTCTATTGCCTCCATATTCTAGATAAAGAAACTGAGGCTCAGAAAGGCTCCCTTGCTTGCTCCTCAGTTAGTAAGAAGCAGGGCTAGCTCTGAGTCCAGGACTACCGCTTCCTCCCAGGAAGGTGTCCCCTTGTGCACAAGTATTTGAGGCCATGAGGAATGGCTCTGCCTGCTCAAGGCCAAGGACCAATCTCAGGGTCCAGCTTTATTCACCCTTCTCACAGCTCTCATGAGTCATAGCCGGCCATGTCCAGACCTCAGCACCAGGCCCTCCAGAGTCAGAGGGGACAGGGCCATTGTTATGATGGGCATGGCAGGCGTGGCAGGTGAGGCCGTGTGCCCTGTGCCCACCGGAAGACTGGCAGACCTAGGACAGGAAAGCAGCAGGCTTGTCCGAATCAACCGCACAGCGAGGACTCAGTGACCTGATCCCCGGAGCCAGGAGCTCAGCAGTCAGCACTGGTCTCCTTTTTACAGCCTGAGTCAGCCAGGCAGATTGACCTGCATTGCGCTGCCCGCGTCCCTATTGATTTATTAGGGCCGCTTCCGAGTAAAAGACAAGAACTCTTCTTAAGCATCTCGCTCTGGGCAACTTACTTCTAATTTTCTCTCTTTTGAAGACAAGGGCGAGATGCTATTTTTCACCAATCCAATGACAAAGACTGAAAAGACAAACCACACCCAGTATTGGCCAGAGAACTGTGAAAATGGTAGGTCCCTTTAGAGCTGGTGGAAGTGTCATACGCACCATGTTTTTGAAAGGCGATTTGGCAAAGCCAAAAAATGCCCCCACCCTTTGACCTCGTAATCCCTCTCCTACAGGGATTTGTACCAAGTTCTTGGTACAAAGTTGATCTTCACAGAGTTGTTATAACTGCCCCCAAATGAAAGCCACCTAAATATTTACCAACAGGGAATTGGTTGAATTAAGGATGGGCTATCAGTCAGCCATTACAAATCAGGCTGGGAATAATATTGACTCAGAGAAAATGCTCATTATAGATTGAAACAAAGCAAGTCACATCCAGAATGTTTGCAGTGATATGAGCAGGCTTCGTAAGCTTTTCCACATCAGGGCCCGTCCGCTCAGAAGGCTCCCTCTTGGCCCCAGCTGGCAGGCTGTACAGAAGCCCAGGCTATCCTGCTGGAGACAGAGGAGGAGGTGAAACCATATGGAGAGAATGGCCCCAATGTAGTATCCCACTGAACACATCTGATGAGAAACCTCAGCAGCACCATGGGGAGCAGGACAGCCCAATCCACAAAAGCATGAGAAATAATACATGGTTGCTATTTAAAGCCAATAATTTTTGGAGTGGTTGTTCTACAGCAATAGATAGCTGAAATACCCTGCTGTTCTCATTTCCTAGATTTTCAGAATGAATTTGACCACTGGAGCAGAGGCCCCTGTTTCTGAGTATCCAGCCTCGTTGTGCGCTCCGGAAAGCAGAGCCTTGGGTGACCCCAGGTACTAAGGCTCCAACACTGGCCAGTCATCATGCAGCTGTCACAAACACCATCACATACTAGGCACTTAATAAATATTTATTGGATAAGTGAATAAATGTCTTAGTTAACACATACTGCAGCCCTGTGAGATAAGAGTTATTGCTTTATTATTCCTCAACTGATGCTCATTCATTAGAGAGAAATGCAGATATTATAAAAGAAGAAAATAAAAATTACCCCTGGGTCGGCCTGGTGGCACAGAGGTTAAGTGCGCACCTTCCGCTTCGGTGGCCCTGGGTTCACCGGTTCGGGTCCCGGGTGCGGACATGGCACCACTTGGCAAGCCATGCTGTGGTAGGTGTCCCACATATAAAGTAGAGGAAGATGGGCACGGATGTTAGCTCAGGGCCAGTCTTCCTCAGCAAAAAGAGGAGGATCAGAAGCAGTTAGCTCAAGACTAATCTTCCAAAAAACAAAATTACCCTTAATTCTACTACCCATAATTTCAATTAACATTTAGCATATATGTACAGAAATTCAATTGAATTATATCCACATATTTACTTTCAAAAATGTGATAGACTGATTTGCAACCTGTTTTTTCATTCAAAAGATCTTAACTTTCTTCACATATCAATGAATGTATCTCTCCATTCAACAGCATTTTTAATGGATGCACGTTTCCCTGTGTTACTCAATCAAGAGTCACACACCCTTCCTCAGCCTCACTCCCACACAGACAGAGGTGAGCCCCACCCATCTTATCTGTGCACTATGTCCCCACTGCCTGACCACAGCTAATCAGACCCAGGATGAGCATCTTGCACAACTGGGACAATCCACTTCTCTGGTCTAGAAACTTAGAATCGGGATCTGGAGACAGTTAAGTCAGCCTTGATGGTTTTTGCAATGGTCAGGTGTAAATTCTGGCATTGCACAGTGGTCATATTCTGCCACATGGAGCAGAGCATCCCTGTCTGCGAAGAGAAAGAATAAAAAGGAAAGAGGGCTGCAGACCATCCTAGGGGCAGTCTACTCATAGACTCCAGATCTTTGTCAGCATCTGGCTGCATCCCTGCCACTGGTTTGTGAGACACTTCTCTAACCTTTAAAGAATTCTTCTTGGGGGGGCTGAAGTTGGCTTAAATATGTGGATACTTGCAACCAAAAAGTCCTAACAATCTTTACTCTAAGGAAATAAGGAAGATGAGACTCTCAGCCACAAGGCCAGGCCACTGAGAACCGGTAAAAGGAAAAACAACCCAAGATAGAAGCACGTTACCCCAGCAGCTTCTATAAGCAAAGGCTGTCCCAGCCACTTTACAGTACGAGGTACACAGGCTGGACTGCGAGCTGCTTGAGGGGAGGGTTTCAGAGCCAAGTGGTCAAGGCCCTTTCTCTATGCTGTGGCCTCCACATTCCAGCCCCAGCAGCAAACATCTGTTGGGCACCTGCCACATGCAGGGCACTGTGCTTGGAGCACAGACGCACATGGATGCATAAAGGTCCACATGTGACTTTGGGCAAGTCATTTCCAGCTCTCTAAGTCTCAGTCATCTCATCTGTAAATGGGTTGAAATGCCCACTTCTCAAGTCTTCCCAGCTCTCACACCTCTAAATCTAAGCCAGGGTCCAGCTCCAAGCCCTCCAGGAAGAAGGAATATACAACACGCTGTGGAAGTGGCATCGAGCTGCCCAAACACCTTCACACCCATTGTCTCCTGTGTTCCTCCCAACAGCCCCTCTAGGCAGGGCTCATTAGGCCAATTTTAGGGATGCGGAAAAGGGAGAAGCAGAGAGGCGAAGCAACCTGCCCAAGGGTGCACAGCTGTTGAATGGAAGAACTGGAACTGAGCCCGCTGCCCCACTGAGAGAAGGATCAAATAATCCTTGATCTTTATTCTCGCAGTTTTAAAGATGAAGAACGTTTATATGAGGCAACCAGAGTAGTTAAATTCAGAGAGACAGAAAGTAGAAGGGTGGTTGCCAGGGGCTGGGGGCGAGGAAGCATAGAGAATTACTGTTTAACAGGTAAGGGGTTTCAGTTGGGAAGATGAGAACGTTCTGGAGGTAGATATGATGGTTGCACAACAGTGTGAATGTACTTAATGCAGCTGAATTGTACACTTAAAAACGGTGAAAATGGTCAACTTTATGTTATGTATATTTTATCACAATCTTTTTGTTTTTAAGGAGGAAACAGGTCTGGCAGGATAAAGGGAGTAAGTGTAGACCAGGTTATGATCTTTCTGGGCACAGACTGGGGTCAGTCCTCAGATCTACCACTTGCTCCCTTGCGTGACCTGGGTCAAATTACTCTGAAAATGTGCCTCTGTTTCCTTTTTTGTTAATGAGATAAAACAGTACATCTAGGATTTGCTATGAGAATTAAAGGAGATAATTTTACACCACTCGCTTAGCCCCGCACCTGCATATGATAAACTGTCGGTATGCATGACAATATGAGGCAGCTTCTCAACCGGAGCTAGAAGGTCACCAGTTGCAACCCCTTCATTACAAAACTGAAGAGACTGAGGCCTAGAAAGGGACAATGACTTGCCTGGAGTCACCCAGTGAACCTGTAACAGAGCGTCGAGTGGAAGTGAACTCTCTGAGCCCAGAGATCTCTGACTTCAGCCAGCCCACAGCACTTTCTTTTTCTTAAGAGCTAAACCACCATGGATTTGGGGCATTCATTGCAAGCCTCAAGGAGGAAGGGAGGGCTCGTCCAGTTCTCAAATGGTTCTCACTCTCCCTCTTCTGAGTGAGTCAGCCCCAGTATAACGAGGTGAGTCAGCCAGCTCTTCCGTGATCAATGTTTAGGTGACTGCCAGGTGGCATCCAGGTGAGGGCTGGGTGGGGGAAGTGGGCACAGACAGACGCCAGCCGGTGTGGCTGCTCGCTAAAGGTGGAGGGAAAGGGTGAGCCGTGTGCTTTCTTTTGGATTGCCACATGGTGGTATCTAGGAGTTAAGAGGTCCAGGTTTCATATCTTCAATTTGCTACTAAATTCCTCTTCCAGTGTGACCTCAAGCCAGTGGCTTTAACTTCCGTGTGCCTCAGATTCCTCAACTGTGCAGTGGAGATGTGAAGAAACCTGGTCTTGCCCTCAGCCCAAGGTGTGGGAAGGTGTTTTGCAGAGTGAAAAAGTTGCGTCAGCACAAAGGGCATGGTTATTTCACTTCTCAGGAGAAATAAGGTTCTAAGAACAAAGCAGAGCCCAGCCAGGCTATTTGCTTGTTTTGCCCATCAGTCCTTGGACTTCTCAGGGTCTCTGAGACCCTCCAGTCTCCTTGCTCTTCCCCAGGCCTCAGGGCACCAGGTTAGTTCCTCAGACTCAACCTTTATGGAGGGCCTACTCTGCATTAGGCCCAGGGACAAGCCCCTGAACCCTCCCCAAGGCCCCACAAGGTCAAAATTACTCTGGGCTCCATTTTACAGAGAGAAAACTGCGGCTCATGAGAGGAAGCAACTCATCAAAGATGGCATTCCTGGCAGGGTGGAGCTGGGCCATAAAGCCAGACTCTGGACTGTTGCGCGCTAGCGCTGTCTGGGTGCGAGGAAGAGAGCTCCTGGGAGCTGCATCAGGGCCCCTCCTTCCAATTCCAGGGACTCCCCCAGAAAACAATCCAAGGACATAAAGAGAGGCAGACCCCTGCCACCCTGAAGTAAATAGACTTTGAGAATGTACAACCCTGGAAATAACAATAATCATCCCCATTTTTCAAGTATTTACTATATGCCAGTCACCTGACAGTCATTTTCTCACTTCATATTCTCAAGAATTCTGTGAGGTAAGTACTGGTATTATTCCCATTTTACAGTTGGGGGAATCGAGACTCAGAAAGGCTAAGTAATATGCCCAAAGACACACAGCTAGCAGACATGTCTCAGAAACCTGTGCACTACCCACCACACATCACTGTTGGCCTCCTCGTTCATTCATTCTTTGCTTTATTCATTTATTAAACACTATAACCTCTTCCCTGTGCTAAGTAACTAGCTGGAGGGAGGGAAGACAGGAATGCCTGAGCCCCTGCCCCAAGGAGGTCATTATCTGGGGAAAGATCAGGCTCGAATAATTGGAACTTAAGTGATAAGAGCCAGGCCCTGGTACAGCTGCCTGTGCTGGTTCTGGGTCAGGGGCCTCCACTGAGCACTGCAGGTTAGAATTTTTGTTGGTTTATTTTTCTTAATCGAGGTGCTACAACTCACACCTATTACCTGTATGATCTTGGGCAAATTATTTCACTTCCCTGAGTCTGTTTTCTCTTTTAGAAAATGGAGAGAAAAACACTCATCCCATAGAGTTCTTGCGGGGATTAAATTGACTGTAATAACATTGTATTCATTCATTCAACACATAGGTACTGAGTCCCAGTGTGCCAGATACTGGTTTTGGTGGTGGGGATGCTAGAGGAAGCAGACAGCAGACATGCCCTTGGAACCACGGAAAGATTTCTTTTTAAGTAAAAGAAGAAAGTTTTAACTGAAGCATAATGTGCATAGAGAAAAATGCAAAAATTGGTAGTATACAGCTGGGTGGATTTTCACAAACTGTGTAACCAGAACCCTGATTACAAAACATTGCCAGTGAGGTCGGGACCAGGGTGTGGCAAGTGAGGCACTCGCTTTGCTGAGTAAAATTGAAGGGGGAGCCAAAAAGTTCAGTCATCAAGATAAATATTTTTAATGCCATATTTTTAACAAATCAAAATGAATGCAAAAAATCCATGGTGACAAAATATCAAAATTTTAAATATAGACAGGATTAGCAACAGTGGCTTATGAGTCATATTAAAGCTCAGGGAAGTGATATTGCTCACCTGCCTCCCCCTAGTCCCAGCCCTGACTATCAGCCCCCGTCGTAATCACTACCCCCACCCCCCGCCCAGGGTAGCTATTATCCAGACTTCTAATCCCATACGTAAGTTTTACCTATTTTTGAACTTTATATATCTGAAGTCCCACTTTTGCATTTGGCTTCTTGCACTCAGCATTATGTCCGGGAGATGTATGCATGTGGTTGCGCTCTATGAAAAGGTTTTTAAGCAAGGGAATGATGCGGTTGGCTGGGCGTTTTAGAGAGACCAGTGTGGAGGCAGGATGAATGAGGAGGGTTCTAGGCTGTGCTAGCGCAGGGCCAGCGGGAACGGAGAGGAAGGGATGGAGTCCAGCGACATTCTGGAAAGGCAGCGTCCTCACAATTGACTGGATACTGGGGATGAAGGAGAGAGAGGAGTCAAGGAAGATACCAGATCTCTGGCTTGAGCAATTGCGTGGAGAGAG